ACTTGTAATGTGTGTGAAAAGTCGTACTAAAATACGCTATTTGAAGGGGGCGTGGCCTAAATGCAAATGTCCGATTGGGATTTTAAATTTTCCGGACCCCTGGGTAAGACCTCTCTTTTTTTCTTCAATCTCTTTCTTACTTACTTACTTTGGAGATTTAACGTGCGCTTTCCGACTGATGCGTATTTCTTCAATCTCTCTGGACCAAGGCTTATATAGCCAAGGTCACCTGACATTTAGTAAGTAATAAATATAAATGTAAACAGTAATTCATCAGCAGGATGGCAGACGGTCGATGTACACAAAAATGGGGATTAACAATTAGGATTAGCATCTTATAAATAACAGCAATTAAGTGTTTCAAGGCATATAGATGTCATGGCTCCAGGGTAATGAGCCTTTGCAATTAAATGTTCTTCAGACAATGGGTGTTGTAAATCAGTCGCTATGACAATATAGCCACTAACTATCTAAGTAACAAATCATACATTACCAATATAAAATATAGCTATTTACATAATTCAAAATTTATCAAAAGTTCAATTTCCTTTTTAAAAAAACTATAATTAAATGAGAATTGAAAGTACATGCATTAAAAAGATCCTTAAATGAAGATGATTTGAAATAGTTTGATTGTGATTCTTTCATCACAAGGGACACAACATGGAGGATCCTCACCTTTCAATAAATATTCATTTGTATACCTGCTATGGCCTAACAGCATAGCCGTGTTAAGACCTCTTCAAGTCTGGACTGACAACCTAAGGAGGTGTAACCGATAGTTGGTTTAATTTGATGTTATTTATTGATACCTACCTGGGTGTCCCACTTGCATTAGATCTCAGATGTAACATCTGATCACATGTTTATAATCGCTGAATGGAATTTGAGGTGGTGTCACAGATTTGTTGAGTACCATTTAGGCTGCAGCATCGGCCATTGTGTTACCGATGATACCAACTTGACTGGGTAACCGACAAAATACGATGTCGCATTGGCCAGTTGCAAGAACATTTAATAATGCAATAATTTGAATTAAAAGTGGATGTTTACAAGACTGATTTTTAATTGCCTGAAGACAAGAAAGATAGTCTGAAAATATAATAAATTGCTTATGTTTGGATTGTTTACTTATGTAATCTAATTCTGTTAATATGACCTTGGATGGAACAGTTATCTGGAAGTCTTAAAGATATTGTCCAGGATCCAATTATGGTGGCGCTGACAACTCACCATCCTTAGATCTATCTGTATATATAAATTTATAAGTATCATATTTGTTTCTTAATTCATTATTTTCTTGTTGATAAATAAATTGATTTGTTTCAGATTTCTTTAATTTAGTTAATCCACCTCTGGCATTACCAATTGCCATGGCAGAGAAGACAAAAGTTCTGTGGGGGCTATATTTTCAAGATTTATTTTAGCAGCAGAAATATGAGGTTTTATTCTGATTCCAAGGGGTGGAATAAGAGATGATTTTTTATTGTAGAGTTCTTCAAAGAGGGGATTAAAAAACCCAAAGGCTGGATTGGAGTTTTTAGAATGCAATTTAGAAATGTACTGTAAAGATAACTTAATGCAACATTGTCTAAGTGATGGTTCATCAACTTCCAGATACAGGCTATGAATCTGAGACGTTCTAAAGGCTCCAAGGCAAAGCCTTAGGCCCTGATGATGAATGGAATCAAGTTTTTTCAAATTGCTTCTACATGCTCCAGCATAGGTAATGGAGCCGTAATCAAGTTTAGAGCGGATAAGCACTCGTACAGTTGGAGGAGAGTCTTCTGACCCCCTCCCGATTTTGAATTTGAAACTACTTTTAATAATCCAATGCTTTCAGACATTTAGTCTTTAAATAATTTATGTGTGGCAGAAAGATCATGTGCTGGTCAAAAATAATACCAAGAAACTAGGCCTCTTTTACATCTTTAGTAGGAGCACCATGCATCCAAAACTAAATCAGGGTCCTTATGCAGCTTATACTTTCTACCAAAATGAATGCAGTTTGCCTTGGCTTTTGAAAACTTGAAACCATTTTCAAGAGACCCATTTATAAATTTTATTTAAACATAATTTGAGTTGCCTTTCAACAGTATGCATATTTTTACCATGACAGGAAATGTTAAAGCCATCCACAAAAAGTGATCCGTCAATTGGATCAGATAAAACTATTTATCTTCATGCTGAATAATGTGACAGACAAAATACTGCCTTGTGGGACACCCTGATCTTGATTATAATGATCAGACAGGGTGGAACCCATGAGGACTTGAAATTGTCGGTCTGTTAAAAAGTGGGATGTGAACTGTGGCAAACAACCTTGCAATCCAAAATTATGTAAATCTTTTAAAATACCATGTTTCCATGTAGTGTCAGACGCTTTTTCGAGATCGAAAAAGATAGACACTTAATGTTGTTTGTTTATTATGGCATTTTTTACGAATGATTCTAGACGTACTAAATGATCGATAGTACTTCTGTTATTATGGAAACCACATTGTATATTTGTAATGAGATTATATTGGTTTCTGAGTACCAAACTAGTCAATTATTTATCATGCGTTCCATGGTTTTGCAAATGCAGTTTGTCAATGAAATTAGTCGATAAATTGATGGATCGGTGTGATAACGTCCTTGTTTAGGCACTTGAACAACAATGGCTTCACGCCAAGAAGGTGGAAATCGTCCTGACATCCAAATTTCATCGAAAATATTTAACAGTGATTGTAAACATGATTCTGGTAAGTGCTTCAGAAGTTGATAATGTATGTTATCAGCTCCTGTAGCAGTATCGTGAGCTTGTCTGAGGGCAGTATGTAGTTCATGAATAGAGAATATTTCATTGTAATCTTCCCCATTATCTGAATTAAAATTAATAGCTTTCTTTTCCTGCTGTTTTTGGTATTATTAGAATTGAGGTACATAATTGGATGAGGAAGAATGTTTAGCCAAAGTTTCACCCAGTTTATCAGCAATATCTGTTTTTTTCAGTTACTAATACAGTCCCATTTTGAAGATGGTGGATACCAGATTGAGATCCCTTACCTTTGATTTTTTTAATCATGTTCCATACCTTCGACATGGGCGTACATGAATTTATTTTTGAAACTTAAGCTTGCCAAGACATGTGTTTAATTTTGCTTAAACATATGCCATGCTTTAGCATTTACAATTTTGAATTTATCTAAATTATGTACCATAGGATGGTGACGGAAATACTTTTCAGCTTTCTTCTGTGCCTTCCTAGCTTGCTTGCAAGTGTCATTAAACCATGTTTACGGATGTGTGGTTTGGCAGAAGACTTCAGAATACATTCATCAGCAATTTTATTTAGTTCATCAGAAAATATTTGCATTGAATCAGGAAAATCAATAAAACGATCAGGATGTAACTTGTTTTTCCAAAGTAATTTGAACAAAGACGTGTTCAGACTTGATGATGGAGGAACATCAGATGGAGTTATGGTTTGAAGAATAGTAGGGAAATGGTCACTGCCACAGAGGTCGTCGTGGACTGACCAATCAAATTCATTTAGATGTTCAGAGTTGGTAAGTGATAGATCAAGAGATTAATATGTGTCTGTACCGGGAGTTATATTTAAAAATGCATAAGTCATTGTTCGAAATAAAGTCTTCTGATACCTTCCCTTTACTGTTTGTAGCAGTACTACTCCAAAGTGGATTATGCCCATTGAGATCTCCCATGATGATACAGGGCTTGGGGAGCAGGTCATATTGGGCTTGAAGATCAGTTATTTGAAGAGGGGAAGATGGAGGTACATATAGAGAACATAATGTGAAAACAAAGTTTAAAGTTAACCGAACAGCAACAGCTTGACGTGGCGTATTAAGAGGAACAAGGCTATGTATAATACCCTGCCTCACCACGACAGAAGAACCTCCAGTGACCTGGCTTCAGCAGCTGGAGGTGAATAGAAATGATATGAATCATACAGTCTGATGTCAATTAAATCAGTTTATTTCTTGTGCTATTAGGGGAACAACTAGTTGTGTGTAGTTGACAGTGAAGAGGACTTCTGTTGAAAATCTGAAGATTTAGTTGTGTCTGCAGCCAAAATACAGGATTTATGGCTATGATGTAATAGAGGTAGTATTCATAGAATTATTAACAATTATAACTATTGTTTGATTTTTGTTTAACAGCCAATAGTGTTGAAAATATTTCTTTCACCTCTTGTACTCTTTCTTAGGAACTCACACTTTTAGTCGATAATTAATGTGTTTGTCAATAATAGTTTGAGGCTGAATAAAACCTTCCAGCTAAGGAAAAACGATCCTGAAACATTAACAGACAAAAGTTTAGTATATTTATTGAAATACCAAAATAACAGAAAAGGCAATTTGGGGAATTTTATCATGACAATGTACATTTAACCAGTATTTGGAAATATGTCACCTTTGTCTTCCATACTTGTTTTCAAAGATCAAATGTATTTTAAGTTTTGTTTACTATTTTGATGCATCACAGCTGATTCCAGATGAGAACCTTTTAAACCAAATTATAAATCTATTCAACTCAATATAGTTAGTAGAATCAACCCTTTTGGTAAAGCCAAGAAGCATTGATGGAGTCTTGCTGCTAACACTTAATTGACATGGAGGATAGAGCATGCAGTGCCACCCTTAAAAGAGAATGAATGGAGCAAATTGTGCATTTAGTTATTGCACTATATTCAGATAGTTTGAAGATTTGCAACACATTGGGGCAGTAGTTGTCCACAATTGCTACAGTGGGGAGATAATTTAACTGAACATGGGGGATTACTACAGAGTACTTAAGTATAAATTTACTACTATAGTTGTTATCATACTCGACTAATACCTGAGTACCCAGCTAACTGTTGCTGTTCTGCTCACCATGCTTTTCAGTTTTGATGAACTAATTACAGAAAATGACTGCAATGACAGACGTGTTTAAGCTCATATTGGAATTGTGTCAGCCATTCAGTTCAGGTGAATAAAAAATCCATAACCTACCTGCATTGAGGCTAACTTTTCTTCAATCTTGTTCACACGTTTTTCTAGAGTTCCCTGATTGCTGTGCATGTCTGCTACCAAGTCCTGGATGTGTGTCTGTGTCTGAGTGATAAAAATTGATAAATTAGATGGCTGTAACTATATTCAGAAATTCAGAAAGCAGAGCCAGAGGATCTGTAACTCACTTGTACTGACCATATTATTCAGTCTCCACCTTTTGTCCAAATTAATCTTATAAACATTAAATCAAATGACAATTAGCCTTAAATTTATTTTTTCGACACAGAATTTAACGAAACAGATTTATTTCCAATGCATACAAAAAAAGAAACATTTCTTTCAACCTCAATGCCACAGCATAACCCAAAAGGTCTAGCTGTGCAGCTCATTAATTTTTCTGAAATATTCTGTTATAGGTCATACAAAGGTAAACAACAAGTAAAAGAAATAACAAACATTTCTACACAACAGACAGCTTCACAGCATATTCTTTTCATTCAACATTGGCACATACACAACTGGCTATATCGGAGGCCAAACTTAAAACATTCATCATGAATGCCATGACTCAACTGGCACCCATCATAGTATATGAATGTCAATGGTTGAAGTTGTAAGATATCACAATACAAAGCAAGATAGAACATGTGACGCTGTTGGTCAAAATCGATTGACATTGTTCTGATAAGTATTCAATAAGTAACCTGAAATTTGATAAGACAAATCCCTATATACCATAAGATTTTGATAAATATTCCAAAGAAAATTACACTGACCCCCAGACTTCCATCCCTTTGAAAATATCTAGCCAAAGTCAGCCGACTCCTCAATGATTCCTACACTATAAACCTACCAGTAACAACATGCCATATCACAAGACCACCTATCTGCTCATTTGGACCTGTACTCCACTTGAGTTATATCTCTGTAAATAATTACTTTTCATAAATAATCCCCTAATGTTTAATAGATATCAAATCAAGTATTTCCACAAAATGTCAGAATGAAAAAATACTGATCCAAGCATGCAAAAGCTGTTGATATGCACCATCTGGAAAATGGAATTTCCATTAAAAGGACGACAGTCTAATGCCAAGGTGAAATAAAACAGGTGCAGTAACCAGTAATTAAAATTATCTTATTAAACCTCTGGACGTGTCAAGTTTACAGTGACTTTGTTAAAGTGAACTAAGAAATAAATAATTATTTGCTGATTTTATAGAACATAAACCTTAATGTGGAGACAAACATCTATTCTGAGTATTAGCAATTTAAGATAACAAAGTACTAAGAAAATGGAGAATTTTATAATAGCAACAAAGTTGAATGTCATTTATCATGCCTTGATGAAATTTGAATCTTCTTGTAGCCCTTGTAGTTTTAAGTTTATAGTTTTTCATTCAATTTTCTAAGCCTTATGGTTCTTGAGAAAAAGAACTGAAAACTAGTGCCATGGGATTGAAGGTCCCATCAACAGTGCATGTACTCCGACTTAAAACAAAAAGGGAGATTTTGCTTCAAGAGATCGAAGCTGAAAAAGCAAAAATAAAAAAGGAACTAGAACAGGTTTTAGCATCAGTTCCAGCACAGTCTCCTTTCCCACATTTCCATTACTGCAAATTTACAAGGTATACTGGCACACAGTACGCCTACAGCCTATGCTATTATAGGCTCACATGTCCAATAAACTAACAAACCACTGATAATTTCACATTTCCTATGGAATAGCACTAATGATCAGGAGCAGTTTGAAATGGGAAATGGATCAATTTTGATAATTGGAGGGCGGAGAGAGAAGAGAGTAAGCATTGAACAGTTGGAATATGCTTCAATGAAAATTCTTACACACATGATGAATAATGTTGGAATTGTCAGTGAAGAAATTCAGGATATATTTCAAATATGGTTCTGATATTTTTCACCTTACTAGCAAAGTGTTCTTGCATATGCCAAAGAGTATAGGGAGAAGCAGTCTGAGGAGTGCTTCAAATGGGGCACAAATCGCTTAACCCTTCACGGCTTCAACCGAAGCCCCGCAAGTACGTTCAGACTTGTCCACCCAACCTGAACAATCAAATAGACTCAAGGACAAGGCCAACACCTGGTGCTACAGTTGCTCAGGGTCCTTTCCTACCAGATGGGAGACAGTAATGCCACCGATTCGACACGGAAGCATGGACAAGGCGCCACTTAGCACATTTGCACCATATGTTTTTTTTGCCACAAGAGACTCAAAGCCTGGTGGACCGACAGGATGAAAAAAACATGTCGCCAAATATGAACCTTTTCTCCTCCCCACCTTTAAGGGCTATGACAAAAAAGCAGTCAGGGGCAGAGATAGGAAGTGGAAGTCAACTGTTGATTGTACTGGAGAGATGTACCCATTGTCGAGGTTGAGAAGGATGCTTCTAACAAGGAGCCATTAACATTTGAAAAGCATATTCTCTCAGATGATTTTAATATGAACTATGACAGAGAGTGAGTTGGGTGTAACGCCGCTTTGAACATTATTGCTTTATGTGATACAGCCTGAAGTAATGCAGGTATCAGATGTTTACCACTTTGTTGAAACCAATGAGCACAAGTATGGTGCTGTCGAACCTCGAAACATAACCAGGATTCAAAACCACAATCATAGGTTTCTGGCGTGCCCAAGGGATGCAACTCTGCAAAGTGACTGAGCCACCAATGAAGTCTGATCAATGATCCAGAGCCAGGTGTGCATCATAGATGTACCTGGCTTGAAGTATGGCCCAACACAACTTCTGAGCAAAGCCAAAGATCCTGATGAGAAGATGGAAAGCTGAAGGAGAGATCAAGGGTAGAAGGATTGCAGAACCTCCAGAATCGCAGAATCAATTGGAAGTGTCATGTGCAAGCCTGCTGGAAGTCCATGGATATCACAGAGAATGTTATCAGCGTTTTACAGTGAACCTTGACTGCTTGAAACAACCTGAAACAGAATCTATGGAACTAGCTGGCTTCCTGTGAGCCCATCATCTTCCAACCTGACTGCATCTTTTGTAGGTCGGTGAATAACACATAAGATGACAAGCCAAATCCTGAGCATACATCCAAGCGTTGTCCCATGAAGCTTAGCCAAAAATGCAATATTGGGTATCCTACTCTGATACCATAAGAGTACATTTGTTCCAAATTTTGAAAATGATTTGCAACTGGTGACATCACTAGTGGGGCAGTTAAGGCTAAAATTGTGCACTTTGGGTTGAAAGCAGCAAACTTGGCACACTTATACATTGAACCATTCCGAAACATGTTGGATATGGATCCATCTCAGCAGAGCCCCCTGGTGGTAGAAAAGATGGCCGCCAACATGGCTGAACTCTCTAATGGTATCAATATATACTCACAATATCAAACTTATCTGATCCATTTATACATACATGTATATCCATAGTAATGCATGCGGAATGAATTGGAGCAGAGCTGTATATGATTCAAATATAGTTTGCAGTGCCCCCTGGTGGTAGAAAATCTGCCAGCATGGCTGAAATCTCTAATGATATCAATCTATACTCATCACAACATAGATATCTGGCCAATTTTATAAAATTATCATTGTAATGTATTTAGGAGTAATCACAACAATCCTGTATATAATTTAAACCTAGTGATGAAAGTCCAAGATTACCGCCAAAATGATTGAAATCTCTAATGACTTCAATCTATACTCATTTATCATAATTATCTGGTCAATTCATTCAATTTATCACAATATCTTTTTCAGGATCAATTGAAACAATGCTTTATACAATTCAAATCTGGTATGCAGCGCTCCCTGGTGATGACGAAAATCCAAGATGTTTCAGTTTTCAGAAATTGTCTATTTCTACAGCAGATATAGATATCATTTGATATCTTTGGGCTAAGGATAAGTTGATAAGTTTTGATGTGAAATGTGAGAAATGTTCTACCTAGTTTATTAGATCACCCCAAAAGACCTCATCTGGGAATGGATTCATATCTTATAACAGGAATGTATGTAAAAGTATTATTGACATTATTACCATGAACCTATGACATCAACTTACTTCCTACTTAAGTAGGACCATGAATATCGGATCAATGTATGTGTTTACGGTTCTATAATTCACTTACAGTGAACACTTTCCTTCAAAGTATCACATAGCACTGTACTAAAGTGTAAAGATTACAAAGGTTTGCAAGACTCCTTACAGGTGTAGTGTTAGTTTATAACACTTCTTTGTGCCTGATCAAGTGTTGGGTATCTATAAAATTACTGCATGTCCTCTCCCAACCCCTGACTACAACATTCTGTAGTGTGGGACCTTTTTCAAGCACCTGTCCCCATATATGCATTGGTGCTGTCTCAGAGCTGCCTCTTTGGGTTGAAATGTCAATTGTCTGAGATCTTCATGAACAGAGATTTTGCCTTTCATTGACCTTCCAAATAAATCAGTGAGAACGACAAACCGCTCAAGAATCTGCATTGTGTTGTCAGAGATATCTGCTGATGATGGGAAAGCATTGGTGACTTCAGGAAATAGGCATGAAAAAGTGACAATGTCTTTGAATTCCGTGGGCCTCTAGAAGAAAACTCTCGGCTGTTTCAGTCAATCCAACTGCACCTCCATCTCCATTCATACGGCTATTGAATTGTTCATGTGTCTGACCCAGCTTGTGCAACACAAGAGAATGTCTGTTTAGTCTTAAGTGTCACGATTCCTATGGAACAATATTCAAGGTACAGCGGTGCTCGTGCTCTACTGTAAGAGGGACATATCTGTGAAATGCAAGCCATTAATATGACAAGTGATGCTGCAAACTTTGGGAAATCTGCTTTTTGAATTACACCCACCAGGCACCATATGCAAAGTTTTTGTTCAAGAACAAGGGACCAGTAATGAAACGGGCTGAGCAGCTTACTTCATTGCACACCAGTTTCTGAAAGGATCTTCTGTGGTGGCTTCTGTTTCCTTATATCGCATATATGATATGTCTGATGTTGTAGTAAGATGGGAGGAATCAGCAGATCTGCCTGAGGCGATTCCAGCAGCACAGACTGCAGTTTTCCATCTACTTCTTTCGGGACAGTTTCTGAGAACCCTGAAAGCAACTAT